GGGAGCAATAATAACTAGTTCTTAGGTTTGAATAAGATGGATATCAATGATACCTGCTTCTGAGGAGGAAATAAGATGAGTTACTTGAAGTAATTATAGCTTTTGTCACATAGTAACAAGCATACAATAAGTGACAATTACTATTATTTAGAAATTAAAAGCATAATTGGAATTAATCCACTCAAAATTTGTGTCCAAATAGTTTTTTTTTTTTTTTTTTTTAAATTTTAGAGAGTGGGCCAGAGGGAGGGGGGTGGGTAGGATCTTAAGCAGGTTCCGCGCTCAGGGTGGAAGTCCACTGTGGGGCTCAATCCCATGATCCTAGGATCACTACCTGAGCCAAACTCAAGTGTCGGATGCTCATCCGACTGAGCCATGCAGGCACCTCCCAAATAGTTTTAGAAAATCAGTTATTTTAAACTTTTAAGGAACACATACTTCTTTTTATGCTGTATAATCAGATCCAGGGCATAAAAAGGTGGAAGACTTTGCATGATCATGTCACTTAGGGATACAGAAAGAAACAGAGGATAATATCAAGGAGTTACTCCAGGGACATCCAGGAAATCTGTTATTACAATAATGAAAACTAGCGTTGAGTATTTAACATGCCCTTACTCTGCAGGGATAGACGTTATCCCCATTTCCTAGATGAGACAGAAAGGCTTGGGGAGGTCGAGCAATTTGCCCTGGTCTCCTGCACCCCTCCCTGCCCTGGCTGCCAGAGCCAAATTTCAAACCAAGCCCAGCTCTCAATCATTACATGGAATTGCCTCTTACATGATATGAATACAGCATCAATAGATCAAGTTTTTAAAATGTTGATCTCAATAAAATGCCAAAACACATTTGATGAAACCAAATGCTCAGTTCTTACATTTTAATAAAATAAGAATATGAGAATAATTTTTTCCTTTCATAAAGAATATCCCTTTTGTACCGATAATGAACATCTTACCAAGTGGTAAGATGTGTTAGCAGTCGAGAACGAAGATGTCTGTTGTAACCATTTTTAAAAATGAATCCTGGAAATTCTGACCCTGGGGAGGTAGAGGTTCCTCCAATCTCTAACCTAGAGTAATAATAAGGGTATAGAATATTTATTGAGCAAGTCCTGTGATACTTTGACATCTATAACTCACCTGACTCTCACAATCAGGAGATAGGTGTATTTTTTCCTTTTTCTTTTCTTTTTTTTAATTGAATTATAATTATCATTTCCATTTTACAGAGGGCAAAACTAAGACAGAGAGAAGTTAAGTAATTTGCTCAAGATGGCATTTGTGCCCAGGCAGCCTGACGGCGGAGCCTAAGCTAATTAACTGATACACGAAAGTAACGAAGGTATACTTTGGGGCAAGGGCAGGTCAAATTGATCCTTATTTGCAAAAGAGGTGATTTAATACCTAGAAATTCCAAAATGATCGATTGAAAAAGTAGTGAAATTAATCAGACTACTCAGGAAAAGTTCTGAAAGCATGATAAGTCTTCTGAAATTACCAGCTATTCCTCCAATTATGTCAGCAATGACCAGTGAGGTAATGGAATTGTAGGGACGGGAGCCCGGAGCCTTCTTGGCCATCATACCGCATAGAGCTAAGAATAATTCTAATTGTAAGAAAGTTATTTTGAAGAAAATAATAAAGATGTACTGACAGATACAAAAGGCAGAAACTAATAGAGAGACATGTGATATTCCAGACTGAGAATCCTGAAGACGAAAAGCAAAAAATCATTTTGAAATTAATGTGTTGGTTCAATATAACTCCAGTCATAACTACAGTGAGAAGTTTTTACAACTCCAAATTAACTCTAAAATTTATCTGGGAAAAAAAATAACAGTCCAGAAGATCTGGAACACATTTGAAAAGGATTTGTGACCAGGCAGATTCTTGACATACTACTTTTTAAGGGTGGTGTAGATTTGAAAAAAATACAGTAGGTTGTGTACAGTAAATATATGACAAAAGTGGTTCACAAGGCAGTGGGAGGAAAGAAAAGTGTCATTTAGAAAATGTTGCATGTAGAATAATGAATTAGTTACCTATAAGAAAAAAAAATAACTTATACCCAGACATGATACAAGAAAATAAATTCCAAAGGAATTAAAGAAGTAAATAGTTTTAAGTTGAGGCATTAAAAGTAAGATATAGGACCGGATATTCATATATTGAATAATATTTACTAAATCCCCAGATGAGAGAAAACAGTCTCAGCCTATATGCAATGGAAGAAATCACGGAGCAACGGGAAAAATAGATTCAACTCTAAAATATTAAAACCTCACATATTAAAGTCAAATAAACAAAACTTAAAGACAAAAAGACAAAAACGCTAGAACAAGTGTGTGTAATACATAACTTTAAAAGGTTTTAGATTTTAATGTTTTTTTTTTTTAATTTATTTCCAGGAGAGAGAGAGAGAGAGAGAGAGAGCGTGAACAGGGGAGGGTCAGAGAGAGAGGGAGTCACAGACTCTGAAACAGACTCCAGGCTCTGAGCTGGCAGTCAGCACAGAGCCCGACGCGGGGCTCGAACCCACGAACCGTGAGATCATGACCCAAGCGAAAGCCGGATGCTCAACCGACTAAGCCACCCAGGCGCCCCTAAAAGGTTTTAGATTTTAAAAAAAATTGTTAAGAAAAGCCCTCTTAGGGTGTTATGCTGAGCGAAATAAGTCAGGCAGAGAAGGACAAATATCATATGTTTGCACGTATAGGAGGACTAGGAGGAACTTAACTGAGGAGCAAGCGGGAGGAGAAGGTGGGAAATGGTGGGGGAAAGGGAGAGAAGCAAACCATGAGAGACTCTTGAATGCTGACAAAAACTGAGGACTGATGGATGTGGGGGTGAGGGGGAATGGGCATGGAGGAGGGCACTTGTGGGGATGAGCACTGGGTGTTATGTGGAAACTAATTTGATAATAAACTATTTGTAAAAAATAAAAAAAATTTAAAAAAGCATAAAAAATAAAAAATAAAAAATAAAATAAAATAAAAAAAATTAAAAAAAAAGAAAAGCCCTCTTATCCCCAAATGACAAATGGGTAAAAGGCATGGAATGGTTTACAGACAATCTGGAACCAAAGCTATTTTCATAAGGTAGCTCTACCCACTATTGATCATAAAAGTGAAAAATGGAAAACAATCTAATTGAAACACAAAGATTAGGTAAATTAGGGTGAAGGTAGAGAAGGGAATAGTACACCATTTAAAATTATATTGATAAAAGTTTAATCTGGGGAAGGAATCTGTCCCATGAAGAAGTACAATGCAGTTATGTTTAGCTACATACAAAACATAGGTTTTACAAAAGAATGAAAATTTGTGAAAAAAGGAAACTTTGGGTCATTAGACATTTTTGTCTTTTATATTACTTTAGAAATAACACCAATCACCTGATTCAGTTCACCAAATCCCAAATAGTTTGTTGACAATAATTTTGCATATCAAATATAGATTTATCCATGAATGTAAACTTATGGTAATTAAACTGGGGGGATTTTATTTTAATGTTCTTTGTTCAAAAAAGGGAAATAGAAAAAATATATACCTAAATGTTAACAAAACTGGTTATTGTAATCGTGGTTGATGTTTTATTTAATTCTTTATATTATTTGTCATTATCAAAGTTTTCTGCAATTAACATGTATCTTTTTTTCTAATCAGGGAAAATGTTTTTAAAAGTATTGAAACAAGCTCAGAAATTCTGGAGTTGCTCAACTAGCATCGTACCAAATTTATCTACATAAAAATGTATTTACAGTCTAAATTATATCTCATTATGTTAATAGAACACTGAGATGATCATCTAAATGTCTGAGTTCCAATTGATCAAATATATCTCAAGTGGTCTAGGTGCATGGCCCTGTGCGAAATACTCTGATGGACAGGAAGAAGGAGAAAACACCGCCTGAACTTTCAAGAGCTCACACTGTATTGGAAAATCAAGACATTAATAAGTGAAAAATCCAAAAGCAGAAGAGACATCACAACAAAGCATAATGAATGTTCAGAAGGAGTGGTGTGTACTATCTCGGAGGAAAAACTGATCCCCGCTCAATAGACTATTCAGAGAGGAGTCGCTGAGCAGGAACTTTGAAGAACAGGCAACGGATGGATGGAGAATGAGAGAAAGAGTGGGTCAGCTAATGGCATCTCCGGCTCTGGCTGTAGGGAAACCCACTGTCTTCCACAAGTTTTGATACGCATTTGGCCACATGTAAAACAGAGCGGGCGGAAGCAAGCTGGGTACACCACAAGCCGACCTCACATGTTGATACAGGAAAATAAGGAGGAGAGGGACTTGGTGGCCAGGGGGATTGGGTTTGAAGTTTCAGCTCTGGCCTTCCTGGCTACGAGTTGCTTTCCTTCTCTAGGCCTCGGTGTTTTAACTGAGAAATGCAAACAGTACCTGTTTCATTTTTTAAACTCATGCTGTGTGCTCGTTATGTGCCAGCATCAGGAAAAGCATTTTGCATAAATTATCTTATTTAATCATCACTATAACAAACTGATGAGGTAGCCACTATTGTTGTCCCCATTTTATATATGAGAAAATCAGAACTCTAATCCCACATGGGGAGGACAGAATTCAAACCCAGGCTGTTTGGGGCCAGAGCGGTCACCGCACTGCATACAATGTTTAAAAAGGTTAGCCGAGTGCCTGGCATATATAGCTGCTCGACAGGGAGGGATCCTCAGACCAGAACAGAGGATTCAACACAAATTGGCTTAACTATATAAATGCACCCATTTCCATAGGGCACTGTAAGAAAACTGGGCTGATGCATGACTTTCAGATGGGAGGTAAACGCAACCCAAGGCCCGAAGGCCATATGGTCCTGGGAAGTCTCAGTCCTAAACAGCCCCTGCTCCCGTGATGGTTGCAGTGCCCATGCACCAGAGGACAGAGAATATCAAAATGTCCACCAGTGAGAAGGGAGGAGTGAGTTCTGCCAAATACCACGGGGAAGGGGACAACAGACGGTTAAGTCGTCACCTTCGTCCTGGGTGCCAGAAAAATCATCTCTGGGCTCCCTTCAGCGCCGGCTACCATGGCGGGGGCCCCAGCCCAGGCAGTTAGGACACATCTGGAACATGAAACGAGAACCCAGATCAACTTTCCAGCTTGGTGACTTGGCAAATTCAGCCATCTTGGACAGACCACTTTCTTTTTCTAAGCCTCAGTTTCCCTATCTAAACCTGAGGGGAGAGGGTGTGTCCAGTTCTAACATGTTGTTGTTCTAGAATTCTATGAGTCTAACACAGATGTAAATGATGAGACTCAAATCAACCAGAAAGAGCAACTTTGAGTTTCAACCAGATATGCCACATGTCTAGTAATACATATTCGTAGGGGCAGGCACTGCCAATTTTTTAGGAAGAAAACCAATTATTCAAACTTTCTAATTCATAATATTGGGGAAGTCATTTTTATCAACAATTACTTGAGATAAATGCAACTTGAATGCAACTTAGTTCTAAAGCTAAATCAGCAAGTATGTGAAGGATTGCAAACAACTTAAGCAGTATTCGTGGACTCATTTTGCTGGATCTTATAAAGCGCCAGGCGAATTGAAAGGGCCAAATAATTCTGTTTCATAGATTGCCCGATTAAATTTCAGAGAAACGAACGTTCTACAGATGGTGCTCAGCTTGTGAGCGCTGTGGTGGCTCAGACCATGGCTTGTCATTCTTTACACCCCACAATTCCTGGCACAATACTTGGAGACAATGTGTAGGAGAAGGACTTTGTAACATTTCTTTGCAATGAAATCAATTCACATGGAAGAAACACTATGTAACCTTAGGGTTGACGTTCCTGAGTCTCAGTTTCCCCCTCTGCTAATTGGGAATTCAATTGTCTCCCTCATAGAGTTTATCAGGAGGGGTAAGTGAGACTGTGAAATCTTCCAGCACTTTCCCTGCCTCACTGCTGGATCTCAGGGCCATGGCTGGCTTCATGGGCATGACTCCTATGTAGCCTAGGAGGGCGAGGGCCCCTTGATTGGTTTGGTGCTCTGCTCTAGCCCTCTTTAAATTCTTAATAATTTTGGGGGGCTCCTGGGTGGCTCAGTAGGTTGAGCATTCAACTTCGGCTCAGGTCATGCTCTCACAGTTCGGGGGTTCAAGTTCTGTGCTGACAGCTCAGAGCCTGGAGCCTGCTTCCATTCTGTGTCTCCAGCTCTCTCTCTGCCCTCCCCCGCTTGTGCTCTGCCTCTCTCAAAAATAAACATTTAAAAAAATACATTCTTAATTTTTTTAACAAGGAACCCCAGATTTCCATGTGCCCTGGGCCCTGCCCATTGCACAGCCGATCCCACTCAAGGTATTATTTTGAGTAGAGCTGCCAAAGCTCAAACAAGAAGGTCTGTTTGCAGAACAAGCAACAGGCCAGCCCACTGCTACGTCCTCCCTGAGCCCCTCAGCCACTCTTCTGCATTGTGCCCCCTGAGCTCCCGGAGGACTGCTCCAAGAACACTCTTCCGCGCTAATGTTCTCCAGAAGCATTTTCTTCCACTGTTTGACTTTGATCAAGTCACTTAACACCTCTGTGCCTCAGATTCCTCAACTGCAGAGAGAACTTATGAACGGCACCGACATTTTCGAGATCTCTGTGAGGATTACATGCAATGGTCTATGTTGCTGGCGCAGAGTAAACTCTATGTAAGGTCACCTCTTACTCTTATGTGTTGTTCCACGGCTTTCTTCTTTGACAGCCTGCATTTTCTCCTGTTTATAACATTTTCTTTTTTAAAATTTTCTTCTTTCCTTTTTTTAGAGAGAGAAAGCACACAAGCTAGGAAGAGGAGCAGAGGGAGAAGGAGAAAGAATCTTAAGCAGGCTCCAAGCTCAGCAAGCAGCTTGACTCGGGGCTCAATCCCACAACCCAGGGATCATGACCTAAGCCAAAATCAAGAGCTGAATGCTTAACTGACTGAGCCACCCAGGCGCCCCCCTCCCACCGCGCCCACCATTCATAACGTTTTCAAATTGCCACCCTGGTCTCCTTCCCTCCACGCACATCAGTTTTTTGCAACTCAGAACAAATCTTAAGGAAAAACTTCCTGGAGGGAGATATTCTCTTGTATCTGGTTTCCAGTGGACTAGAGTAATTAATTAATAGCTATTATTCCGGGGACCCTGGGGGGCTCAGTCAAACATCAGACTCTTAATTTCAGCTAAGGTCATGACCTTGTAGTTCATGAGTTGGAGCCCCGCATCGGGCTCTGTGCTGACCGTGAGAAGCCTGCTTGGGATTCTCTCTCTCTTCCTTTCTCTCTCTGCCCCTCCCCCACTCTCCCTCTCTCACCCTCTCAAAATAAACAAATAGACTTAAAATTTTTTTTTAATTTATTTTAAAAGTAGCACTTTACTGGGCACTAAACTACTCCTTGTCTGTAATCCTCATAGCAACACTGTATGGTGGGTGGTTTTATACCCATTTTACAGATGAAGAAACGGAGGCTTACACAGGGTTAGCAGCATTCTTTGGATCTAGTTCCATCTGGATCCAAGGTCTACACACTTTCCAGCCAGGAGCCCTGATTACTGCTGTCATTAGTGCAGACACATCTTAGGTCTTGGAAACAAGAGACTAATGTCCATCAAGTACAAACTGCTCAATCTCAGGTCCAGTCCAAGCTGAATGCACTTGAACTCCACACTCTGGAATCCGAGCACATACACAGAAAATCCCCTCTGAGACTTGTACACATGCTCGTTCACAGACACACACTCCTCCAACTAATCTAAAATTCTACCTACCCAGACAATACTCACCCCCCAGGGCCAAGAGCAAGGTCTGATCCCAGCTGGTGTTTCAACAACGTCCTGATGGAAACATCTCCCCCAGGGAACCCCAGCCCCACCCGGAAGCTCCTCAGTCATTGGAGGTCAGTCACAAATGTTTCATCATTTCCAACAGGGCGGGGGCAGGCTGCTTAGAAGATACTAATCTCGCTCAGTTGAGTGGAGCCGAGTGAAGCAATAGATAACACCTATCTCTCTCAGTAGGGCTCTACCCTGCTCCTCTTTGCAGACAGTGTACGCAGATGAAAGAGATTAGTAGTCTTCTTCTCTCCATGTGAATGCACATTTCAATACCACCAATATGCACGTAACCCAGTAGAGTGGAAAGGGCACTGGTAAGAAGAGTCACGAGGCCTGGGTTCAAGTCCCACCTAGTGCATTAACTTGCTGCATGAGCCCGACACATCACTTTCCCACCAGACACCTCATGCTCTTCCTCCATAAAATGAAGAAGTGGGTCTCTAGATATTAGCAAAGGTCCCTTCCAACTTGGCCCATCTTTGAATCTGACGTGTGTGATGTGGCCATAGATTAAGAGATTGTGTATGGGACGTGGGGAACTGATGAGGCTCATTTTCCAAGGACAATTTCTTTACCATTAAACATTAGATGGGGCCAACTAAGGACGGTCGTTGCAGTGTGTGTGGTAGATGGTGCCGGGAAAGGAAGGAAGGTCAATCGCAGGCTTTTGGTGGGTCTTAAGCTAAGCCCCCAGGATTGAAATTTGGGAGTGGAGAAGGAGTGATGAGGGTAAAATGATCCTGACATAAAAACAAGAAAGCAGAATTCTATAAATGTCTGTGATGTCACCTCCCTGTGCAGGACAAGTTAACCAGTGTAGAATAATGGCTTCAGAATCAGACATATTTAGATTGAAACCCTGCTATACTACTTGGTAAGAGAAGAGTTGCTTAATATCTCTGATCCTCAGTTTTTTATCTGTAAAATTTGGTTAACCTATTTTTTTTTACCTATTTTTTAATCTCATGAGTTTTTTTAACTTAAATAATATAAATAATTAGGCAAAGCACTTAACAGAAGTTCCTTTCTGTGGTAAACAACGATCTACATTTTTTTTCTCTGAAAGAAAGTTAGAAAGCCATTCTTTAGGCTGAGTCTGGCTCAGTGTTTTATGACCCTTGATGTTCCATCACTGTGGAAATATGTTTGTGGCTGTAGCTGCTGGGTTTTTGGTTTTTTTTTTTTTTTCCCTTTGCATGGTTTGTGTTAAGAACACAAAGCCCTGTTATCACTCAAGATTTAGGAAAACACAAGAGTGATTTCCTAACTGGGCTGTCCACACTCTCCACGTGCACTTGCCAGTACCGAATTCACTTCTCTCTGCTCCCGACTCTGCCATGGTCTCAGAGTGATTAACTCGCGCTACAGTTAACCTACAGGGATCAAGACGAGTCTCCGCACTTTGATTACATGAACCCCTTGTAGCTATGGCAGCAGCCAGAGTTGTGCAAGCTTCAGGAAGCTCTCCGCTTTTGCGTGGACCACTCTTGGGCCAGGACCTTCCATGATGCCTCCCCGAGGCTCACAGGATCATGTAGTTATTAAGGATCATGGAGGGGTGCCTGGGTGGCTCAGTCGGTTATGCGTCCGACTTCGGCTCGGGTCATGATCTCATGGTTCGTGGGTTCAAGCCCCGTGTCGGGCTCGGTGCTGACGGCCAGCTCAGAGCCTGGAGCCTGTTTCCGATTCTGTGTCTCCCTCTCTCTCTGACCCTCCCCTGCTCACGCTGCCTCTCTCTCTCTGTCTCAAAAAAAAAAAAGGTCATGGAACATGATGTATTTGGGATCCTCCACACGTGCTTGCTCTCTAGACAGTGTTACCACCATAGAAACTCAGAACTAGAGGAGTTTTAGTTAGATCATCCATGACTCTGCTCTAGATGGAAAGTGAGTAAGAACCGTTGGGGGTCTCCGTCTGACTCGTCTCCGTGTCCCGGGTTGCCAGAACTCTGTCTGCGCTTGCAATAGGTGCTTGACAATTGTCTGCGGCGTAGATGAGAGAGTGAATGAATTTGGGGGCTCTGTCACACATGATGGGGTATGCCAGTGGCTCACGCGCTGCCTGACTACACTCACACACTCGCCGAAGATGATCTGAGGATTCACCCACAGAGGCGCTTAGCCTGCTGCTGCGCGGAGGCCCCTGGGAATGTGTCCCTCACACAGTCCCCCGTCCAGGGCTTGTCTGCTGAGCCCCACAGGATCTGGCTCTCCTCTCTCTGCTTCGAGCTTAACAGACTCCAGCCCCCGAGGCAGGATCCGAGGCGAGATTAGAATGGTGATAAATGAAGTTCTAACATCTGTAACATCAACAGGAAGCTGTTTTTGATAGTTTATCACCTGCTAGAGTGGCTGATGGACCTCGATAACATGCTCCCCCCCACACACACCGCCCGGACAGCTCATAAGACCAAATCTCTTCCAAGGTCCTTTCCCCTGTGTGATGTCTCCAACACCGGTGTGACTCAGTGTCTCCCAGAGACCACAGCTGCTCTCTGCAGGAGCGTATTTTCCGTCTCCATCTTGAAAGGAGGACAATGGTGTGTCAACAGGAATAGGAATTTTCAGGCAAAGAGAAAACACCCTGCTCACTATGCAATCATTTTCCTAATACATGTCTCCTAATACATTTCCTAATACGTTTTCCATAACTCTTCCCCTGCATACTTGCTTTTAAAAAAATATTTTTCCAAATTGTTTTCCACGTTATAACAAATGAGCTTTTAAAACCCACAGCTCTGGTGATAGCACCCTCTGCTAAAAACCTTCCCGTGGTTTCCCATTGCACTTAGGATGAAATCCAAGATCCTGAACAAGATCTATGAGGCTCCCACTATCTGACAGCAGCAACCCTTTTGGCCGTATCTCAGGTAATTTGCTTGCTTTTCTCTCTTCACCCTCTTCCAGGCTCCCTCTCTCCTCAGGGTGTCTGCTCAGGTGGGTCCCTCTGGGCTCAAATAGGTTTCAGGCATTTTTTTTTTAATGTTTTATTTATTTTTGAGAGAGAGAGATAGAGACAGCATGAGCAGGGGAGGGTCACAGAGAGAGGGAGACACAGAATCCGAAGACAGGCTCGAGGCTCTGAGCTAGCTGTCAGCACAGAGCCTGATGAAAGGCTCGAACCCACGAACTGTGAGATCATAACCTGAGCCGAAGTTGGATGCCCAACCGACTGAGCCACCCAGGTGCCCCACAGGCATTTTTAAAAAAAGATTTTATTTTTAAGTAATCTCTACACTCAATGTGGGGCTTGAATTCACAGCCACGATCAAGAGTTGCAAATTCTACCACTAAGCCAGCCAGGTGACCCTTCATGGTATTTTTTTTTTTAAGTTTATTTTATTTATTTATTTTGAGAGAGAGAGAACAGGGGAGGGGCAGAGAGAGGGGGAGACAGAAGCCTAAGCAAGCTCTGTGCTGTTAGTGCAAACCCTGACACGGAGCTCATGAAGTCATGACCTGAAACAAGATAAAATTGGACCCTTAACTGACTAAGCCACCCAGGCATCCCTTTGTGGCATTTTTAATGGCTGTCAAATATCCCACTTTGCTGGTATAACCCTAAATTCCAAACCAATCCTTGGGTTGTCACTCAGTTGTTTGCAGTATTTTCACTACTGCAGGCAACACTGTCATGGATAACTTTGTACACACTGATTTTTTTTTTCTGCTTAGTTCAGACTATTTCCTTAGGACTAAGTTCTAGAAGTGAATACCGAAGTTCAAGGAAAGTGCACTTAGGGTTTTTGTATCGTATTGCCCTTCTACTCACAGAAGATGTATTCCAGTAGCAGTATTGGAACATACCCATTTATCTACAATCTGGAGAGCAATGAATGGTCATTTATCAATAATGACAGAGGTGTTATTGCCACAAAAGTTTTAGTTTCTTTTTTTTTCTAAACTGCTTATCATTAGTAATAAAAATGTTTTATTATTTAATGAATGCCAGCAACTGTACCACTTGCTTCCTATACCCTAATTCGTTTAGTTCCCATAACAAACTTATAAGGAGGATACTACTTTAAAATGAAAAAGCTGGGGGCCTCTGGGTGGCTCAGTCCATTGAGCATTTGATTCTCGATTGCAGGTCAGGTCATGATCTCCTGGTTCATGAGATCAAGCCCCGCATCAGGTTCTGCACTGTCAGAGCTTGGGATTCTCTCTCTCCCTCTCTCTCTGACCCTCTCCTGCTAGCCCTGTCTCTCAAAATAAATAAGTAAACATTTAAAATTAATAAAATGAAATAAATAATAAAGAAGCTGAAAATTGGGAGGTTCCCAAATTTAGGATTGTAGTAACTAACAAAACTAGGATTCAAATTCAGATCTTTTATTATCATTTCAAAAACCATTTCTTTATGCAATATTTGCATACCTTCTGTACCCCCTAATGGATTTTCTGCATCAGCGAGTAGGTTGATACTCAACGCTGAGATTGCACGTGCAGAACCCAAGTTCACATGACAAGCACCCAGCCCTGTACCTTCCAGGAGCCTCTTGTCCCTGGCCACCCCCACCACTCCTCCCCTGCCTTTCAGCTTAACTTTTCATTGATTAGTGATCTCACTCCATAACCTAAAGTTTAATCTCATAGACAGATGTACTAAGATGCCCACATCCCAAAGTTACTCAAGAATCAATGAACCCACATTGAAGCACTCCATTAACTGCAAAACACTCGACAAACATTAGGCTGTATTATCTTTAAAAAATTTTTTAAGTTTATTTATTTATTTTGAGAGAGAGTATAAGCAGAATAGGGGTAGAGAGAGTGGGGAGAGAGAGAATCCCAAGCAGGCTCCGTACTGTCAGCGCAGAGCCTGATGTGGGGCTCAAATGCATGACCTGTGAGATCATGACCTGAGCTGAAATCAAGAGTTGGACACTTAGCCGACTGAACGTATTATCTTTTAAAAATAACATAGAAATGATGAATGACTGCTACTGAGAGCAGGGTTCCTCCTGGGGTGATAAAAGTTGTTCTAAAATTGATCGTGGAGCTGGTTATGTGCGTCTGTGGG